TAGTGTGTGTGTGTGTGTATAGTGTTGTGTGTGTGTATAGTGTTGTGTGTATAGTGTTGTGTGTATAGTGTGTGTGTGTGTAGTGTGTGTGTGTGTTGTGTGTATAGTGTGTGTGTGTGTGTGTGTGTATAGTGTGTGTGTATATGTGTTGTGTGTGTGTGTGTGTATGTGTGTGTATAGTGTTGTGTGTTGTAGTGTGTATAGTGTTGTGTGTATGTGTGTATAGTGTGTGTATAGTGTGTGTGTATAGTGTTAGTGTTGTGTGTATAGTGTTGTGTTGTGTGTATGTGTTGTGTTAGTTGTGTGTGTATAGTGTTGTGTTGTGTGTATAGTGTGTGTGTGTAGTGTGTGTGTGTATAGTGTTGTGTGTGTATAGTGTGTGTGTGTGTGTATAGTGTGTGTGTGTGTATAGTGTGTGTGTGTATAGTGTGTGTGTGTGTGTGTGTATAGTGTGTGTGTATAGTGTGTTAGTGTGTATAGTGTTGTGTTGTGTGTGTATAGTGTTGTGTGTATAGTGTGTGTATATGTGTGTGTGTGTTGTATAGTGTTGTGTGTGTGTGTATAGTGTTGTGTGTTGTGTGTATAGTGTTGTGTGTGTATAGTGTGTGTGTGTGTGTGTGTATAGTGTGTGTGTGTGTGTGTGTATGTGTGTGTATAGTGTGTGTGTGTGTGTAGTGTAGTGTGTGTATAGTGTGTGTGTGTATAGTGTTGTGTGTGTGTATAGTGTTGTGTGTATAGTGTGTGTATGTGTGTATATAGTGTTGTGTATAGTGTGTGTTGTGTGTATAGTGTGTGTGTGTGTGTGTGTATAGTGTGTGTGTGTGTATAGTGTGTGTGTGTGTGTATAGTGTGTGTGTATAGTGTGTGTGTGTATAGTGTTGTGTTGTGTGTATAGTGTGTATAGTGTGTGTGTATAGTGTTTGTGTGTATAGTGTTGTGTTGTGTGTATAGTGTTGTGTGTATAGTGTGTTGTGTGTGTATAGTGTTGTGTTATAGTGTGTGTGTGTGTGTATAGTGTGTGTGTATAGTGTTGTGTGTATAGTGTGTGTGTGTGTGTGTGTATAGTGTGTGTGTTGTGTGTATAGTGTTGTGTGTGTGTGTGTATAGTGTTGTGTGTATAGTGTTGTGTTGTGTGTGTATAGTGTGTGTGTGTATGTGTGTTGTGTGTATAGTGTTGTGTGTATAGTGTTGTGTGTATAGTGTGTGTGTGTGTGTGTGTATAGTGTGTGTGTGTGTATAGTTGTGTTGTGTGTTGTGTGTATAGTGTTGTGTGTATAGTGTTGTGTTGTGTGTATAGTGTTGTGTGTGTTGTGTAGTGTTGTGTGTATAGTGTTGTGTTGTGTGTATAGTGTTGTGTGTATAGTGTTGTGTGTTGTGTGTATAGTGTTGTGTTGTGTGTATAGTGTTGTGTGTATAGTGTTGTGTTGTGTGTGTGTGTATAGTGTTGTGTGTATAGTGTTGTGTGTATAGTGTTGTGTGTATAGTGTGTGTGTGTATAGTGTTGTGTGTATAGTGTTGTGTGTATAGTGTTGTGTGTATAGTGTTGTGTGTGTGTATAGTGTTGTGTGTGTGTGTATAGTGTTGTGTGTATAGTGTTATAGTGTTGTGTGTGTATAGTGTGTGTGTGTGTGTGTTGTGTATAGTGTTGTGTGTATAGTGTTGTGTGTATAGTGTTGTGTGTGTATAGTGTTGTGTGTGTATAGTGTTATAGTGTTGTGTGTATAGTGTTGTGTGTATAGTGTTGTGTGTATAGTGTTGTGTGTTGTGTGTGTATAGTGTTGTGTGTATAGTGTTGTGTGTATAGTGTTGTGTATAGTGTTGTGTGTGTGTTAGTGTTGTGTGTATAGTGTTGTGTGTGTGTATAGTGTTGTGTGTGTATAGTGTTGTGTGTATAGTGTTGTGTTGTGTGTATAGTGTTGTGTGTGTATAGTGTTGTGTTGTGTGTATAGTGTTGTGTTGTGGTATAGTGTTGTGTGTATAGTGTTGTGTTGTGTGTATAGTGTGTGTGTGTGTATAGTGTTGTGTATAGTGTGTGTTGTGTGTATAGTGTGTGTGTGTATAGTGTTGTGTGTATAGTGTTGTGTGTGTGTATAGTATAGTGTTGTGTGTATAGTGTTGTGTGTATAGTGTTGTGTGTGTGTGTTGTGTGTATAGTGTTGTGTGTGTATAGTGTTGTGTGTTGTGTGTGTATAGTATAGTGTTGTGTGTAGTAGTGTTGTGTTATATGTGTATAGTGTTGTGTGTATAGTGTTGTGTTGTGTGTATAGTGTTGTGTGTATAGTGTGTGTGTGTGTTGTGTGTGTTGTGTGTATAGTGTTGTGTTAGTGTGTGTATAGTGTGTGTATAGTGTTGTGTGTGTGTGTGTGTTGTGTGTGTATAGTGTTGTGTGTGTGTGTGTGTGTGTGTGTGTTGTGTTGTTGTGTGTATAGTGTTGTGTGTATAGTGTTGTGTGTGTGTATAGTGTTGTGTGTGTGATAGTGTGTGTTAGGTGGCAGTAGCTCAGTTGGTGGAGCATTCGCCCACTGATCTGAAGGTTGGCGGTTTGATTCCAGCTCTCGACATAAACATCACAGGTTGAGTGTTCAGATCCACTGACCCACAGGTTGGCTGGTGTGATTCCAGCTCCCACAGATGAATGCTGTCGTTGTGTCCTTGGGCAAGACATTTAACCCACCTTGCCCACAGTGTCTGTGTGCACTGGTGTATGAATGTGTGTGTGAATGGGTGAGTGGTTCCTTGTTGTAAAGCGCTTTGAGCCTTGAAGGTGGAAAAGCGCTATAGAAAAATGTGACCATTTACCATTTATATGTGTGTATAGTGTTGTGTTGTGTGTATAGTGTTGTGTGTATAGTGTTGTGTTGTGTGTATAGCGTTGTGTTGTGTGTATAGTGTTGTGTGTTTGACTCTGTGTTTTGTGTTTGTTTTTGGAGGATGAATTCTTCTCTGTCACATTTGGGTTTCGCTCTGGCTCCTCCCCCTGGACACGCCCTCCTGCCGCCCTGTTACCACGGCTACCACCGCCACGTGCACGCCCCCCACGTTCACGCCCCCCACGTGCACGCCCCTCACGTGCATGCCCCTCACGTGCACGCCCCTCACGTGCACGCCCTCCTGGACCCGGAGCCGGCGTTCGTGCAGCGGCGGAACGAGCGCGAGCGCGAGCGCGTCCGCCACGTGAACCAAGGCTACGCCCGACTGCGCCAGATCCTGCCCAAGACCGGACCAGAACCAGAACCGAGACTCAGCAAAGTCCAGACGCTCCGGGCGGCCATCAGGTACATCTCAGACCTACAGCGCCTCCTGGAGCTCCAGCAGAACCTGCAGAACCAACAGAACCAGAACAAACACCAGAAGAACCGACCACAGAGCCCCGCCCACCTGTGACGAGCTCTGAGCCCAAACCAGGACCAACACCAGGACTAAGACCAAGAGCAGGACCAGGACCTCAGGGGAACTCAGGAGAACCTCAGGAGGACCTCAGGACCCCAGGAGAACTCAGGAGGACCTCAGGAGGACCTCAGGACCCCAGGAGGACTCGGGAGGACCTCAGGAGGAACTCAGGAGGACCTCAGGACCCCAGGAGGACTCGGGAGGACCTCAGGAGGAACTCAGGAGGACCTCAGGACCCCAGGAGGACTCGGGAGGACCTCAGGGAACCTCAGGACCCCAGGAGGACTCGGGAGGACCTCAGGAGGACTCGGGAGGACCTCAGGGGACCTCAGGACCCCAGGAGGACTCGGGAGGACCTCACGGGAACTCAGGACCTCAGGAGAACTCAGGAGAACTCAGGAGGACCTGGGTGGTGCTCACCTCATCATCTTTTTCCATAATTTATTTATTTATTTATTTTTTCATGTTTTGGTGAATAAACTGAAACTGTTCAGTTTCTCAGAGGAAATGAAAAACAAAAAACTAAGTCTGACTCTTTATATTTATATTTACATGTGGATCTGTGTGTGGACACATTTATATATATATAAATGTGTGAAGCGTCCACATGTGTGAAGCGTCCACATGTGTGAAGCGTCCACATGTGTGAAGCGTCCACATGTGTGAAGCGTCCACATGTGTTTTTTGTCATGTTAAACATGTGAATAATAAAAACTGAGTGAATTTTCTGTTATTGATTTATTTTGGTGAACGGACCCCCCCCCCTTCCTGTGGGTCTGACCACGCCCACAGGAAGTAACAGCTGTTGTTAGGGCGTGGTCAGCTGTTGTTACTTCCTGTGGGCGTGGTCAGACCCGATGGACCTGGCGCCGGAGTCAAACCACACAAAACTCCGCCGACAGCTCGTACACCCCCCCCCCCCCCAAAGATAAAATCCCACAAGAACAAAAAACACAGACAGCGTTAACCGTGATGACGGAGCGTTTCTCCTTTCACACACCTGGGACCAGTGTCAGAGGAACAGATTACAAGTACTGGAGTAATCAGAGTACAAATGATGATGTATTCAGTTACAGTTACTGTTTCACTGAGTGGGAATTGGATTACAGTTACTTTCTTGAAATAAATGGATTACACAGAGGGATTTAACTGTTTTCACATTTTGGACTAAACCAGGACTAAACCAGGACTAAACCAGGTCTAAACCAGGTCTAAACCAGGACTAACCCAGGTCTAAACCAGGTCTAAACCAGGTCTAAACCAGGACTAAACCAGGACTAAACCAGGTCTAAACCAGGTCTAAACCAGGACTAAACCAGGTCTAAACCAGGACTAAACCAGGACTAAACCACGTCTAAACCAGGACTAAACCAGGTCTAAACCAGGTCTAAACCAGGTCTAAACCAGGAAAGTTCAGAGACAGATTTACTGGGCAGAGTTTTATAAATATATAGAAAAGCAATTTTACTGTTATCATCTTGTCTTATTTCTGTGTTGTAAAAATGAGGAACTTGTAGATATCTAAACAAATCTGTGTTTTGTTTTGTTTTTTGTGACAGAAAAAGGTAAAAAAAAAAAAAGTAAAAGTGTAAAATAAGGCGAGTCTGAGGTGAGCTCATAAATACTGGTTTATTCTCATTTTAGACTCAATCAAAATCACAAACGTTAGAAAAATACATCTGGGTGTTTTCAATCGCTCCAGTCCACACGAACACAATCACAGAATCAGAATCAGAATCAGAATCAGAAGAATCAGAGTTTTTAGAAGCGTTGGTGGAGTTTGGGTCTCGAGTGCAGAGCGTCTTTGGTTTGAGCCGAAACTCTGGAAGTTCATTCGTTTCATTAGATTTAGAATTTTAAAAAACCCAAAACAAAGCAAAAAAAACAAAACGCTGAATTTCTTAAACTTAATTTTTTTTAACTCTGAAAAAAGACGTTTGAATTAGTTTTATTCAGATTTTTTTTGTAATTGAGCATTTTCAGTATTAAATTCCAATAATTTCACCTTTTAAATGTTCAGCACAAATATTTTCAAGTCTCCGGCGTAAAATTCAGAGCAAAAATCCAAGACGCCAAAAAAAAAAAAAAAAAAATTATTATAATGATAAAAGTAATTTAAAAATAGTATTATACATTTTTTTCTTCTAATAATAAAAAAAAAAAGGTCCGAGACGCCGAGGCAGAAGTAATCGATCCTGAGTGAGTGAGGACAGAGGCTGGTTCCTAATGGTTCTCATGTGTGGGCGGAGTTTGAGGTTTTGACGAGGTGAATTCTGACCAATCAGATTGCTTCACCGCTCTATTTCCTGTTACCGAGTCAGATCTGCCGCAGCATCGCCGATCTTTGCTGCGGATTTAGCGACGCCCGGGGATTCGACGCTCGGGGATTCGACGCTCGGGGATTCGACGCTCGGGGATTCGACGCTCGGGGATTCGACGCCTGGGGATTCGACGCTCCGAGATTTGGACGTGAAAAAATTTGTCCTGGATATTTATACGGTGAATTTTTTTATTTCGAATTTTAAACACGTTGAAAATGTGCACTTAGAATTACAGCACCTAAAAATTCTGAGTAAAAACAACACAAACATGTTTTTCAGAGTTAAAAAAATTCAAAGTGAGAAACATTCAGCGACGTTTCAAATTCAGAATCTGACGGAACAAACGACGTCGCACAGGAAACACTTTGTCTGGAGAAACACTGAAGCCTCCAAACGAAAAACGTCTTCTGTAAACGAACTAAACATCTGCGTTTCCAGATTTTTGGTGAACTTTAGATTTAAAAATATATAGTTTTTTGTTAAAGTGAAACGCTAAATTGAAAATATTTATATAAAGTCTCTTTTTGAACCTTTTTTGTCGAATACAGATTTTCCTGAACACTGCAAAAACTCAACTGTGTTGGTAGGGGGCGTGTCCGTGTTGGTAGGGGGCGTGTCCGTGTTGGTAGGGGGCGTGTCCGTGCCAGTAGGGGGGTGTCCGTGCCAGTAGGGGGGCGTGTCCGTGTCAGTAGGGGGCGTGTCCGTGTCAGTAGGGGCGTGTCCGTGTCGGTAGGGTTGAGTGTCCGTGTCGGTGGGGGGCGTGTCCGTGTCGATAGGGGGCGTGTCTGACGGTAAGGGGGCGTGTCTGTGTCGGTAGGGGGCGTGTCCAAAATACTGGAGACGTTTCTGGATGAGAAACATTTTTGACTTTTTGTTTTGACTCAAAGTTTTTCAGTTTGTTCAGTTTTTTTTTCTTTTCGTCACAAACAAAAACAAAGCCATCGCTCCATCGCTCCGTTCAGAGTCGTTTATTCGTGGTTTGTCGTGGTTTATTGGTCCTCGGGGCTCTGATTGGCCCGTGGTCCGGTAGACCCGCCTCCTGTGCTCTGATTGGAGGAAGGGGCTCAGGACTCGCTCCACGTCCCGGCAGCGTTTGAGGAACCGCGCTCGGTCCCGGGCGAACTCCTCCCACTCGCCCCGGCGCTCCTCAGAACCCACGCAGAACACCTGCACGTCCGGACAGAACCGCACCTGCACAGAACCAACAGAACCAAACAGAACCGGGTCAGGAACAAACACAACCAACAGAACCAAACAGAACCAGGAGAACGTTTGTTTTCAGAGCCGGGTTGTTTCACCGGGTCGTTTTGTTGTGTCGTGTCGCCATGTCGTTGGGTCATTTCGTCGGGTCGTTTCGTCAGGTCGTTTCGTCGGGTCGTTTCATAGTTTCGTTTCGTCGTTTTGTCGGGGTCGTTTCGTCGTGTGTCGTTCGTCGTCGTTTCGTCGTCGTTTCGTCGGGTCGTTTCGTCGGGTCGTTTCGTCGGGTCGTTTCGTCGGGTCGTTTCGTCGGGTCGTTTCGTCGGGTCGTTTCGTCGGGTCGTTTCGCCGTGTCGTTTCGTCGTGTTTTCGTTTCGTCGGGTCGTTTCGTCGGGTCGTTTCGTCAGGTCGTTTCGTCGTGTCGTTTCGTCGTGTCGTTTCGTCGGGTCGTTTCGTCGTGTCGTTTCGTCGGGTCGTTTCGTCGGGTCGTTTCGTCGGGTCGTTTCGTCGGGTCGTTTCGTCGGGTCGTTTCGTCGGGTCGTTTCGTCGGGTCGTTTCGCCGTGTCGTTTCGTCGTGTCGTTTCGTCAGGTCGTTTCGTCAGGGTCGTTTCGTCAGGTCGTTTCGTCATGGGTCGTTTCGTCGGGTCGTTTCGTCGGGTCGTTTCGTCGGGTCGTTTCGTCGGGCCGTTTCGTCGGGTCTGAAGCGTCAGACTGAGTCGCTCTAAAGCTTCAGTTGATTTGATTCATTCGATGTTTTAAACGTCGTATTTCTGCTCTGAGCTTCACGTTTGCAGCTTTTATTTATTTTGAAACTTTTGTTTAAATGATCAAAAATAGTGTTTTCTGGGGTTTTTTTTAGAGATAAAAGCTGAAAAAAAACATCAAGTCACTCAAAAACAATCATGATCAGGACTTTTCCATCACCGAGGACTAAACCAGGACTAAACCAGGACTAAACCAGGACTAAACCAGGACTAAAGCAGGACTAAAGCAGGACTAAACCAGGTCTAAAACTAACAGGACTAAACCAGGTCTAAACCAGGTCTAAACCAGGACTAAACCAGGTAAACCAGGTAAACCAGGACTAAACCAGGTCTAAACCAGGTCTAAACCAGGACTAAACCAGGACTAAAACCAGGTAAACCAGGACTAAACCAGGTCTAAACCAGGTAACTAAACCAGGTCTAAACCAGGACTAAACCAGGTCTAAACCTGGTCTAAACCTGGTCTAAACCAGGACTAAACCAGGACTACATCTGGACTAAACCTTGTTTTGTTTTGATCATTTTGTTTTAGAAAAGTTAAATTAAAATAAAGAAAATAAAACTTTCATGAGTCCAGTTCAGTCTGACTCAACACAACAGCAACAACACACAAATACGTGGGTCCCAGTCAGTCCCGGTCTCAGTCCCGGTCTCAGTCCCGGTCTCAGTCCCGGTCTCAGTCCCGGTCTCAGTCCCGGTGTCAGTCTCACCTTCTTCTTGCCGGTGGTTCTGGAGCTGCTCTGGGAACACTCGGATATCGTGCGGACTCTGCGCTCCTCGGGTTTCGGGTCTGGTAGCGGATCAGTCCCCGGTCCCGGTCCGGTTTTAGTCCTGATCGGGGCCTGGAAGTTGAGCGGACTGTACGGGTCGGACGAGCAGAAGGAGTCGAGCAGCTTCAGGTTCTGCTCCTCGGCGTCGCTGGCCTCGTCCCAGGAGGAGGAGGAGGCGGACGAGGAAGAGGAGGAGGAGGCGGACGAGGCCAGGGAGGAGGCGCAGGACCCCGGGCTGGACTGGTCTTCCTCTGGTCCCGGTCCTGGTCCCGGTCTGGGGATGGGTCTCGGGGCGGATCCCAGTTTGGCGGTGAAGTTGCGGGGGTTGTACGGGTCGTCGCTTTGGCACAGGGAGCTCCACAGTCGCTCCGTCTCAGAGTCAAACTCGTCCTCGTCGTCCGAGCCCGACACCTCCGACGAGCAGTCGCTGTCGAACCCGTCGTCCTCCTCGTCCTCCTCGTCCTCGTCCTCATCGTCCTCGCTGCCGTCGTCGCTGTCGTCGCTGCACGGACACCCCATAATGAACGCGATGGTCTTGTTCTCGCAGTGGGGCGCCGGGAGCCGTTCGTCCGTCTCACGCGTCGGCTCCTCGTCGGGCTCCTCGTCGGGCTCCCGGGCGCTCCCCAGGCCCGGCAGCAGCACCGCGCTCTGGAGCCGGGCTTTGGCCACCAGCTGCTCCTCCTCCAGGCTCGAGTATCCGTGGTCCTGGTCCGGGGCGAGCGCGTCCCCGAGGCTCTGCAGCAGCGTGAGGCGCGGGAGGTTCTGGAGGTTCTGGAGGTTCTGGAGGTTCTGGAGGTTGAACGCGCCCTTGTCCGCGGCGAGTCCGGGTCTTTTCTCGGGGCGCTCCTGGATGAACGCCACGGTCCGGGTCTCCGCGCATAAAGTCACAGCGGAGCACCGGACCTGCTCCTCCTCCGCCGCGCTCCACAAACCGCCCCACCACGTCTTAGACCCGGGACCCGGCGCCAGGGTCAGAGCCGGGGCAGAGGCGGGGAGGCTCCCGTCCCCCACCGGGCTCCCGTCCTCCGGGCCCTGCAGCTCGCTCAGGTTGATCCAGGGCAGCGAGTGGAGCTGCGGCGGCGGGAGGAGGTCGTCAAACCGCCTGAGGAGCTCCGCGTCCGGCTCCAGAAAGTCCCGTTTGAGCGGGCGCAGGTACCGCTGGAGGAAGGACACGGCGGGCCTGGACACCGCGGAGAGGAGCCCGAGCAGCGGACTGTCGTGCGCGAGGAGGCCGGGGGACGCGAGCTCGGGCCCGGGCGCGGGGGACGCGCCGGTCCCGCTGCCTCCGGGTCTGTCTCCGGTTACAGTTCTCCACATGGTCTCACAGTGTTCACGGGGCTCGGTTCTACGGGACCGCGGCTTCAGCGGCGGTCATGGCGCTGACAAGAACCGACAGAACCGACAGAACCGACAGCGGGACACCAGAGATTTAAGGCCGGGGAAGGAGCGAGGTTTTCGGCGGCGGCGCGGGGCTGAGAGCGGGACTGATTCTTCTTCCTGGTGTAGAGTTTCGAGACACGGCAGCGGCTCCGGGACAGGCTCGGTTCGGACGCGAAGGACCCGCTTTGTGACGAGAAACACGCCGCCATTTCCAGACAGAATTTCGAACAAAAAAAGAACCAAACAAACCCGGAGCTTCTGGAAGTAGCCGTTAGCTTAGCTTTAGCTCGCGCTGACACTCGGGGCTTTTCCCGGAGACTTCGGGTCAAACGCGGCCGGAGCTGGTCCCGGGGCGGCGGGGCGCTCTGTCCCCGCGGTGCTCGGTGTGTGTGGGGCTCGGTTCGGCTCGGTGGGGCTCGGTTCGGCTCGGTTCGGTCCGGGTTCGGGGCTCGGGGTTCGGAGCTGAAGCGGAGGATTTCATCAGACAGTTTTAGGGACCGTCTCCATTTGCGCGGTCGCGGGTCGGAGCGCAGAGGGCCACACCGCGGGGGAGCGTCGCGATGTTCCAGACCCGGCGGCCCGTGCAAACAGCGGCGGCGGAAAAACGAAAAAAAAAAAAAAAAAACGAAAAAGAAAAACGTGGTGTCAGACGATCCGCGGTTACGTAAGAGCCGCGTCCAAAGGTGCGTCTGCGGGACACGTGTTTATCGAAGAAACGGTCACACCGCACCGCCCCCCGCGCCGTTTTTAGCCTCAGGGAGCGGGGCAGGTGCACGGGGCAGGGGCACGGGGGGTGGCAGGGACATGGGGGTGGCAGGGGCACGGGGCAGATAAGCAGAGTCAACAGAGTGCGCGTGTGCGTGGGTGGGGCATTTTTATCTTGTTTCTGTTCGGTGCGTTGGGGTTTCCAAAAATGCTGATGTTCAAAATAACTTTCACCTGGAAAAAAAAAAAAAAAGACTGAAAAAAAAAAACATCTGGAGCGAAAGAGCCCAGAGTGTTTAGATTGAATATTTACTCCTGTATGTGTCTGTCAATCAGTCAAACTTTATTTATACAACAATTTTCGTACAAAAATACACACACAAAAAAATAAAAAATACTCAAAGTGCGTTTACATGTGGACAGTGTTGGGAAGTTTACTTTAAAAATGTAATCCCCTACAGATTACAGATTACAAAACACAAAATGTAGTTTGTAACATAATCCATTGAGTTACTTAAAGTGAGTAATGTAATCTGATTACTTTGGATGACTTGATTTGCTGTAGAGAAACAAAGACGAGGAAATCTTCACATAAGAAGTTTTGTCTGATAAAAGAAAATAAAAAGTCCAAACTTTACTGAACCAAATAAAAATATTATTGATAAAAGACGAAGAAACACGTCCACACAGCAGGATTTAGTCCTGGTTTAGACCTGGTTTTAGACCTGGTTTAGTCCTGGTTTAGACCTGGTTTTAGACCTGGTTTAGTCCTGGTTTAGACCTGGTTTAGACCTGGTTTAGTCCTGGTTTAGTCCTGGTTTAGTCCTGGTTTAGACCTGGTTTAGACCTGGTTTAGTCCTGGTTTAGACCTGGTTTAGACCTGGTTTAGACCTGGTTTAGTCCTGGTTTTAGACCTGGTTTAGACCTGGTTTTAGACCTGGTTTAGTCCTGGTTTTAGTCCTGGTTTAGACCTGGTTTAGACCTGGTTTAGTCCTGGTTTAGTCCTGGTTTTAGTCCTGGTTTTAGACCTGGTTTAGTCCTGGTTTAGTCCTGGTTTAGTCCTGGTTTAGACCTGGTTTTAGTCCTGGTTTTAGTCCTGGTTCAGTCCTGGTTTAGACCTGGTTTTAGACCTGGTTTAGTTTCCGGCCGTAAGTGGAGTTACCGGAAAAAAAAAAAAAGAAAAAAAGGGATTTAGCCCAAAATGTAAAAACAGTAAAATCCCTCTGTGTAATCCATTTACTTCAACAAAGTAACTGTAATCCAATTCCCACTGACTGAAACAGTAACTGTAACTGAATACAGTTCCTCATCATTTGTACTCTGATTACTCTGGTACTTGTAATCTGTTCCTCTGACACTGGGTGTACAGCAGGTGTGTTTTTCTCGTCTCTGTCAGATTTGGAGTCCTGCAGTTTGTGACTTGGACTCGAGTCTTGAGACTTGAGTTTATTTTTAGGACTTGAGACCAGAGATGCACTTTTTGGACTCGTGAGTAAAAATATTTTATCGTTCATGTTTTTTGTTTAGATCAGGAGCGTTAAACTCACGTCATATAAACCCCAAAAATAACAAGAAGTTCAAATATTTGTGCAGAGAAACACAAATCTATTACAGAAATCTTTTTTAATTGATGAACTCTTTCTTTTACAAAATATTATAATATTATGAACAACCTGAAACTTTAAGAAAAATACAATTTCAACACAAAGTTTTAACATGAACTTGTCTGTAAATAGGAATAAGTCATTTTTGTTGTAAAATCCTGCACTCGGCTCCACTTTTCTCATGTTGGACATTTTTCTGATGAGGGTCACGGTCAACAGTCAAAACGATCGTCCTTTAAGAGCGTTTGGAAAGAGACAAGTCTTCATTTGTGCTGCTCTGGTGGAGGGGCCACGTACAGAGACGCCTCTCGGGAGGGGCCACGTACTGCTCTGGTGGGAGGGGCCACGTACTGCTCTGGTGGGAGGGGCCACGTACAGAGACAGGGGCCACGTACAGAGACGCTGCTCTGGTGGGAGGGGCCACGTACAGAGACGCTGCTGTGATAAACACCACAGAACAAGATTTTAATAGAAAATACCATTCAAATATTTGAGTAAAAAATGAGCCGAGGGCCAGATTAAAGGTGTGGGAGGGCCGGATGTGGCCCCCGGGCCGTGTGTTTGACTCTCCTGGTTTTGACGTGACGCAACAAAACTCCTCAAAAAACTCCACTCAAATTAAAATAAAAAGTGAAGACGCGATGTCCTGGTCCTGCTCCTGGTCCTGGTCTTGGGTCCTGGTCTTGGTCCTGGTCTTGGTCCCGGTCCTGGTCTTGGTCCTGGTCTTGGTCCCGGTCTTGGTCCTGGTCTTGATCCTGGTCTTGATCCTGGTCCCGGTCTTGATCCTGGTCCTGGTCTTGGTCCTGGTCTTGGTCCCGGTCTTGGTCCTGGTCTTGATCCTGGTCCTGGTCCTGGTCTTGGTCCTGGTCCTGCTCCTGGTCCTGGTCTTGGGTCCTGGTCTTGGTCCTGGTCTTGGTCCCGGTCCTGGTCCCGGTCCTGGTCTTGGTCTTGATCCTGGTCCTGGTCTTGGTCCCGGTCTTGGTCCTGGTCTTGGTCCCGGTCTTGATCCTGGTCCTGGTCTTGGTCCCGGTCTTGGTCCCGGTCCTGGTCCTGGTCCTGGTCCTTGGTCTTGATCCTGGTCCTGGTCTTGGTCCTGGTCTTGGTCCTGGTCCCGGTCTTGATCCTGGTCCTGGTCTTGGTCCCGGTCTTGGTCCTGGTCTTGGTCCTGGTCTTGATCCTGGTCCTGGTCTTGGTCCCGGTCTTGGTCCTGGTCCTGGTCTTGGTCCTGGTCTTGGTCCTGGTCTTGATCCTGGTCCCGGTCTTGATCCTGGTCCTGGTCTTGGTCCCGGTCTTGGTCCTGGTCCTGGTCTTGGTCCCGGTCTTGGTCCTGGTCTTGGTCCTGGTCCCGGTCCCGGTCTTGGTCCTGGTCCCGGTCTTGATCTTGATCCTGGTCTTGGTCTTGGGTCACACGGCGCCGATTGTGAAACCTGCAGATTAAACATTTCCTCACAACCTGAAACACAAATAAAAGACACACAAACCAGAACTAAACCAGAACTAAACCAGGTCTAAACCAGGACTAAACCAGAACTAAACCAGAACTAAACCAGGTCTAAACCAGGACTAAACCAGGACTAAACCAGGACTAAACCAGGTAAACCAGGTCTAAACCAGGAACTAAACCAGAACTAAACCAGGACTAAACCAGAACTAAACCAGAACTAAACCAGAACTAAACCAGGACTAAACCAGAACTAAACCAGAACTAAACCAGGACCTAAACCAGAACTAAACCAGACTAAACCAGGAACTAAACCACCAGAACTAAACCAGAACTAAACCCAGGACTAAACCAGGTCTAAAACCAGGTCTAAACCAGGACTAAACCAGGACTAAACCAGAACTAAACCAGAACCAGAACTAAACCAGGACTAAACCAGAACTAAACCAGGTCTAAACCAGGACTAAACCAGGTCTAAACCAGGACTAAACCAGAACTAAACCAGAACTAAACCAGGTTTAAACCAGGTCTAAACCAGGACTAAACCAGGACTAAACCAGGTCTAAACCAGAACTAAACCAGAACTAAACCAGAACTAAACCAGGACTAAACCAGAACTAAACCAGAACTAAACCAGGTCTAAACCAGGTTTAAACCAGGACTAAACCATTTTCAGTCCCAGTCTCAGTCCTGGTCTGGTTCTGGTCTGGTTTCTAGTTTTCATTTAAACACAAAATTGAAAACTGAAAATTTCGAATTTTTATATTTATTATATATATTTTTTTTGTTTTCTTATTTTTTGTTTTATTTTGAAAAACAAATGAACGACTGAAACATGGATTAAACTTTTCTCTGCATAAAGAAGGAAAACAACAATCGACATTTGTTTTTTTTGTGTGTTTTTTTGTGTTTTTGTGAGACTTTGTGTCCGTGTTGTTCCGCACAAATAAACTCAAAAACAAACTCGTCTCAGGTTCAAGTTCAAACTTTAATCAAACTGTTTTAAAAAATCAAATTTGTACATTCGTATTTTACAGTGCGAGCGACTTCAGAAACAAACAAACAAACAAACAAACACCGCACAAAATCTCAGAAACTAAATTCAAATAAAAATCTAATCTGCATTAAACACTTTTACAGTGTAACTCAAGTCACAGTAAAAAAAACAAAAAAAAAACTCGAGACAAAAAAGAGAAAAACCAAACAGAAAAAAGAAAAAGAGTCGGGGGGCAGTGGCAGAGTGGTTAGCCCTCTCTTGTTTCTTCTCTTTTATTTTTTCGTTCAGACGGTGTGAAACAGAAGTGTCCCGTTCACACGAGACGCTCACGAGGAAAACAAAAAACAAAACAAAAAAACGACTCAAGATTTTTATCGTAGGTGTTTTTCGTTTCGACGGTGACGCCGTTTTTCAAGGCTTAAAAACGCTGAAAAAATCTGGACCCGGCTCCAGAGCGGAAAAGTTGAATACTCCCCGCTGCCGTGCGTCCGTCTGCGCCGCCCAAGACGCAAAACTCTGGTCACGTGTGCTCAGGTCGTGTACGAGTTTACGTCACGCACACTTTTGCGTCGTCGCGTGCAGCAGATTTACTCCCAAAAACACTCGACTAAACGCGGAATGAAGAGCGAAGACGCGACGACACTACGTCGTCGTATAAACGTCGGGTTAGAGTTTGTAGAGTTTGTAGAGTTCGTAGAGTTCGTTGTCGTCCGTCTGAAGTGCGATGTCAAAATAAAGTGTCCCATGAAGAGCGGGACATGGCGGTGTCAGGGCGGGACATGGCGGTGTGGGGGCGGGACATGGCGGTGTCGGGGCGGGACATGGCGGTGTCAGGGCGGGACATGGCGGTGTCATGGCGGGACATGGCGGTGTGGGGGCGGACATGGCGGTGTCGGGGCAGGACATGGCGGTGTGGGGGGAGGGACACGGCGGTGCTCAGTCGGGGTGGGACATGGTGGTGTCTAGACATGACATGGCGGTGTCTGGGGGACATGGCGGTGTGGCAGGGGTGCGGGTGGGACATGGCGGTGTCAGGGCGGGACATGGCGGTGTGGGGGCGGGACATGGCGGTGTCAGGGCAGGACATGGCGGTGTCAGGGGGTGGACATGGTGGTGTCTAGACATGACATGGCGGTGTCTGAGAGGGACATGGCGGTGTGAGGGTGGGACATGGCGGTGCCCGGCTGGGGTGGCGGCTGACAGGGGTGCTCCGGGGTGGGACATGGCGGTGCCCGGCGGGGGCGGGGCTGACAGGGGCTCCTCGCATACCGACCATAGATGCCGGTGTCTGCGCTCGTCGTGTAAAATCGCGCATGTGACTCTTCGGCGCCGCGAGTCCAAACGTTGCGGTCGAGGTCGATCCTGGAGACGCCGACACAAACTTGACTCGGAGTCAAACCACAAACACAAACAAACTTTTTCTGTTTCGCAAATTTACACAGAATCACGAGGAAAAAGTGACTCTGGAGTTTAGTGCAGCTTAAAAAACAAACAACTGAGTCATTTGTGTTTTTAATGACTGAGTTTTGATGAAAACTACAAAAATGGAGAAATTCACTCCTGATGTCATCGTGATGTCACTGTGATGTCACTGTGATGTCACTGTGATGTCACTGTGATGTCACTGTGATGTCACTGTGATGTCATCGTGATGTCACTGTGATGTCACTGTGATGTCATCGTGATGTCACTGTGATGTCACTGTGATGTCACTGTGATGTCACTGTGATGTCATCGTGATGTCACTGTGATGTCACTGTGATGTCATCGTGATGTCATGTCACTGTGATGTCATGTGATGTCACTGTGATGTCACTGTGATGTCACTGTGATGTCACTGTGATGTCATCGTGATGTCACTGTGATGTCACTGTGATGTCATCGTGATGTCACTGTGATGTCACGTGTGATGTCACTGTGATGTCACTGTGATGTGATGTCACTGTGATGTCACTGTGATGTCACTGTGATGTCAGTTTAAATGTTCAGTTCAGTTTTTACAAAAATGTGACAAGGTTCAGTTCCTAAAAAAAAAGTGAAGAGCTGCTCCAGTGTGAACCAGACCAGAACCAGACCAGGACCAGGACCAGACCAGGACTGGACCAGGACCAGACCAGTTCCTCTTGAGGGTGGGTGGGGTCAGTGCTGCGGCCCGGGGCCCTCGGACGGGGCCCCCAGCTGGTGCCAGTCGACCCAGTGCTGACCCGGGCTCACAGACGACAGGGGGATGAAAGTCTCGCCCAGAACCGGGTTCTCCCAAAAAGACCCGTCTCCCAGAACCCGGAGGTGGATCATCCGATGGTCCAGGTCCCCACGAGGAATCCGCTCGTACACCAGCTGTGGACCACAGGAAGACCTGGTTTAGTCCTGGTCTAGTCCTGGTCTAGTCCTGGTCTAGTCCTGGTCTAGTCCTGGTCTAGTCCAGGTTTAGTCCTGGTCTAGTCCTGGTTTAGACCTGGTCTAATCCTGGTTTAGTCCTGGTTTAGTCCTGGTTTAGTCCTGGTTTAGTCTGGTCTAGTCCTGGTTTAGTCCTGGTCTAGTCCTGGTTTAGTCCTGGTTTAGTCCTGGTTTAGACCTGGTCTAGTCCTCCTGGTTTAGTCCTGGTTTAGTCCTGGTCCTAGTCCTGGTTCAGTCCTGGTTTAGTCTGGTTTAGTCCTGGTTCAGTCCTGGTTTAGTCCTGGTTTAGTCCTGGTCAGTCCTGGTTTAGTCCTGGTTTAGTCCTGGTTCAGTCCTGGTTTAGACCTGGTTAGTCCTGGTTTAGTCCTGGTTTAGTCCTGGTTTAGACCTGGTTTAGTCCTGGTTTAGTCCTGGTTTAGTCCTGGTTTAGTCTGGTTTAGTCCTGGTTTAGTCCTGGTTTAGTCCTGGTTTAGACCTGGTTTAGTCCTGGTTTAGTCCTGGTTCAGTCCTGGTTTAGTCCTGGTTTAGACCTGGTTTAGACCTGGTTTAGTCCTGGTTTAGTCCTGGTTTAGACCTGGTTTAGTCCTGGTTTAGACCTGGTTTAGTCCTGGTTTAGTCCTGGTTTAGTCCTGGTTTAGTTTTAGTCCTGGTTTAGACCTGGTTTAGTCTGGTTTAGTCTGGTTTAGAGTCCTGGTTTAGACCTGGTTTAGTCTGGTTTAGTCCTGGTTTAGTCCTGGTTTAGTCTGGTTTACCTGGTTTAGTCCTGGTTTAGTCCTGGTTTAGTCCTGGTTTAGTCCTGGTTTAGACCTGGTTTACCTGGTTTAGTCCTGGTTTAGACCTGGTTTAGTGTTTAGTCCTGGTTTAGTCCTGGTTTAGACCTGGTTTAGTCCTGGTTTAGACCTGGTTTAGTCTGGTTTAGTCCTGGTTTAGTCCTGGTTTAGTCCTGGTTTTAGTCCTGGTTTAGACCTGGTTTAGTCCTGGTTTAGTCCTGGTTTAGTCCTGGTTTAGTCTGGTTTAGTCCTGGTTTTGGTTTAGACCTGGTTTAGTCCTGGTTTACCTGGTTCAGTCCTGGTTTAGTCCTGGTTTAGTCCTGGTTTAGTCCTGGTCTCACCATCTCGTTGTACGTGGGGTTTCGTGTTTTCCTCGTGACTTTGGTTTTTCTTTTACTTGTTTTCTGTGGATCTGGGAGGAGGTAAAGCTTCACGTACGGATCTGGATCTGTCCCGTCAGGGAGCGACACCTGCCAACACACACACACCTGCCGTCACCTGTCACACACACCTGTCACACACACCTGTCACACACACACACACTGCCGTCACCTGTCACACACATGTCACACACACACTGTCACACACACACTGTCACCTGTCACACACACCTGCCACACACACACACACCTGTCACACACACACTCACACACACACCTGTCACACACACCTGTCGACACACACACCTGCCGTCACCTGTCACACACCTGCCGTCACTGTCACACACACCTGCACACACACAACACACACCTGTCACACACACACACACCTGCCGTCACCTGTCACACACACCTGCCAACACACACACACACACCTGCACACACACACACACCTGCCGTCACCTGTCACACACACCTGCCAATCACACACACCTGTCACACACACACACACCTGCTGTCACTGACACACACACACACACACTGCGTCACCTGACACACACACACTGCACTGTCACACACTGTCAACACACACACACTGCCGTCACCTGACACACACCTGCCGTCACTGACACACCTGCCGACACACACAACCACCTGCCGTCATCTGTCACACACCTGTCACACACACACACCTGCCGTCACCTGACACACACACCTGGGACACACACACCTGGTCACTGTCACACACAAACATGGGGAGGGCACCTGACACACATGGGGGGGTGGGACGGGGGAGGGCACCTGTCACACACAGGGGACGGGGAGGACACCTGTCACACACGGGGACGGGGGAGGGCGCCTGTCACACACGGGGGGACGGGGGAGGGCACCTGTCACACACAGGGGACGGGGGAGGACACCTGTCACACACAGGGGACGGGGGAGGACACCTGTCACACACGGGGGGGGTGGGGGGGGAGGGCACCTGACACACACGGGGGGACGGGGGAGGGCACCTGTCACACACGGGGGGGTGGGGGGGGAGGGCACCTGACACACACGGGGGGTGGGACGGGGAGGGCACCTGACACACACACGGGGGGGTGGGACGGGGAGGACACCTGTCACACACGGGGGGACGGGGGAGGGCACCTGTCACACACAGGGGACGGGGGAGGACACCTGACACACACGGGGGATGGGGGGAGGACATCTGACACACACGGGGGGTGGGACGGGAAGGGCACCTGTCACACACGGGGGGGTGGGACGGGGAGGGCACCTGTCACACACGGGGGGACGGGGGGGACACCTGTCACACACAGGGGATGGGGGGGGGCACCTGTCACACACAGGGGACGGGGGGGGCACCTGTCACACACAGGGGACGGGGGGGCACCTGTCACACACAGGGGACGGGGGGGGCACCTGTCACACACAGGGGACGGGGGGGGGCACCTGTCACACACAGGGGACGGGGGGGGGGGCACCTGTCACACACAGGGGACGGGGGGGGGGGGTTGGTCATGTGACTCACCAGGCCTCGGATGTGCATGACCATGATGAAGAGCTTCTGGTTCTTGTAGGAGATGGAGAGTTTGATCTGACCGAGCTCCGCCCCCGACGACCCAGGCCCCGCCCCCGACGACACAGGCCCCGCCCCCGAGGGAGGAGTCCAGCGCGGCTCTGCACACACACACACAGACACACACACACACACACACAGTCACTTTCACACTTTTATAAAAAAGTGCGGAGATTTCAGAAATATTGGTACATTGACAGAAATCGGTGCAGGTTTGTTTGTTGTAAAATAAATAAAATGGTTAAAGTCTCGACTGAGTCCAGACCAACAGAAAATGTTGTATTTGCTCGGCTTTGTGGGACATGGCGCCTGATTGGCAGGTGCGGTCCTGTCGCTGTTGGGTCGACTCTAATGTCCGTCGTGTTGTGGTCGGAGGAGTGACGTCCTGCTCCACCAGGACCAGGACCGAGACCGAGACTGAGACCGAGACCGAGACCGAGACCGGGACCGAGACCAGGACCGAGACCGAGACCGAGACCGAGACCGAGACGACCCGGGACCGAGACCAGGACCGAGACCAGAACCGAGACCGGGGACTGAGACCAGACTGAGACCGAGACTGAGACCGAGACCGAGACCGGGACCGAGACCGGGACTAGACAGAGACCGAGACCGAGACTGAGACCGAGACTGAGACTGGGACCGAGACTGAGACCGAGACTGGGACCGGGACTGAGACCGAGACTGGGACCGAGACTGAGACCGAGACTGGGACCGGGACTGAGACCGGGACCGAGACCAGACCGAGACTGAGACTGGGACCGAGACTGAGACCGAGACTAGACCGAGACTGAGACCGAGATCCGTTTTTTTCCATTTTTCATTTAAACACAAAATATAAAAATTGAAAAACCAAATCTTAATTTTTTTTTTTCATTTCGGTTTTGGAGACAAATAATGAAGAAAATTGAAGTTTTTTTTTTCCTTTTTCTTATTTTAGATTTTATTTTGAAACATGGATGACGGTCTATATGTGGATTTTCTGATGATTCACTTCAGGTCGTCTTCACCAGTTTCTCTTTGCCTCGTGTCGTCAGACTCGGTGCAGAGTTTTACATCAGGTCCGAGTCGGCACGCTCACGACCCGGTGCAGAAACCCGACAAAAGAGCGACTGCGCAAGGAGACGAGATTTATAAACGAGGCCTCAGGTCGGTGCTCAGGTCGGTGCTCAGGTCGGTGCTCAGGTCACATGACTCACCTGGAGGTTTGGGGGCGTGTCTCTCTGAAGGAGCCTCGTCTCTGGGCAACGGATGAAAGAAGGAGTACACCAGGTCACACTGAAACACACCAGAACACACGACCTGAGTGCACCAGGTCACACTGAAACACACCAGAACACACGACCTGAGTGCACCAGGTCACACTGAAACACACCAGAACACACGACCTGAGTACACCAGGTCACACTGAAACACACCAGAACACATGACCTGAGTACACCAGGTCACAGCGAAACACACCAGAACACACGACCTGAGTCACACTGAAACACACCAGAACACATGACCTGAGTACACCAGGTCACACTGAAACACACCAGAACACACGACCTGAGTACACCAGGTCACACTGAAACACACCAGAACACACGACCTGAGTGCACCAGGTCACACTGAAACACACCAGAACACATGACCTGAGTACACCAGGTCACACTGAAACACACCAGAACACACGACCTGAGTGCACCAGGTCACACTGAAACACACCAGAACACACGACCTGAGTCACACTGAAACACACCAGAACACATGACCTGAGTACACCAGGTCACACTGAAACACACCAGAACACATGACCTGAGTGCACCAGGTCACACTGAAACACACCAGAACACACGACCTGAGTCACACTGAAACACACCAGAACACACAAGGCAAGTTTATCTGTAAAGCACACTGGTGGAGCTCCTGTCAGTAGCGCCTGTCAGTAGCGCCTGTCAGTCTGACCTGAGTGACCTCGGGGGCGGCGTGCAGCAGGTGCCACACGTATCCGTTGAGCTCATCTTTCCTCCGATCGGCCGCCGCCTCCCCTCGAGATCGACCAATCACAAACCGGCTCGGGAACCTGAGGACAGGTGAGGACAGGTGAGACAGGTGAGTGAACAGGTGTTATACAGGTGTGGGCAGGTCAATGACAGGTGTGTGGACAGGTGAGACAGGTGTGACAGGTCTATGACAGGTGTATGACAGGTGTATGACAGGTGTGAGGACAGGTGTATGACAGGTGTGGACAGGTGTATGACAAGTGTGTGGACAAGTGTATGACAGGTGTATGACAGGTGTGTGGAGAGGTGTGTGACAGGTGTATGACAGGTGTGAGGACAGGTGTATGACAGGTGTATGACAGGTGTATGACAAGTGTGTGGACAAGTGTATGACAGGTGTATGACAGGTGTGTGGAGAGGTGTGAGGACAGGTGTATGACAGGTGTGGACAGGTGTATGACAGGTGTATGACAAGTGTGTGGACAAGTGTATGACAGGTGTGTGGAGAGGTGTGTGACAGGTGTGTGACAGGTGTGTGACAGGTGTGTGGACAGGTGTGGACAGGTGTATGACAGGTGAGAACAGGTGTATAGAACAGGTGTATGAACAGGTGTGAACAGGTGTATGAACAGGTGAGAACAGGTGTTAACAGGTGTATGAACAGGTGTGAACAGGTGTATAACAGGTGTATGAACAGGTGTGAACAGGTGTATGAACAGGTGAGGTGTATACAGGTGTATGAACAGGTGTGAACAGGTGTATGAACAGGTGTGTGGTGTATAACAGGTGTATGAACAGGTGAGAACAGGTGTATGAACAGGTGTATGAACAGGTGTGACAGGTGTATGAACAGGTGAGAACAGGTGTATGAACAGGTGAGAACAGGTGTATAACAGGTGTATGAACAGGTGAGTACAGGTGTATGAACAGGTGTGAACAGGTGTATGAACAGGTGTATGACAGGTGTATGAACAGGTGTGAACAGGTGTATGAACAGGTGTGTGGACAGGTGTATGAACAGGTGTATGACAGGTGTGTGGACAGGTGTATAACAGGTGTGTACAGATGTATGACAGGTGTATGAACAGGTGTATGAACAGCTGTATGGACAGGTGAGTGGAAAGGTGCGACAGGTGCGTGCAGGTGCAGTGGGCGGAGTTACCTGGGCAGTTTGTTGGAGGGGAAGAGGAGGCGGAGTTTACTGTGGAGCTCGTGGAACTCCTCAAAGGTTCTTCTCACCAGAGACGCCTCGTGGTCCCGCTCCACCTTCACCACGAACATCTGCAGGAGAACATGTGTGTGACTCAAACATCTGCAGGAGAACATGTGTGTGACTCAAACATCTGCAGGAGAACATGTGTGTGACTCAAACATCTGCAGGAGAACATGTGTGTGACTCAAACATCTGCAGGAGAACATGTGTGTGACTCAAACATCTGCAGGAGAACATGTGTGTGACTCAAACATCTGCAGGAGAACATGTGTGTGACTCAAACATCTGCAGGAGAACATGTGTGTGACTCAAACATCTGCAGGAGAACATGTGTGTGACTCAAACATCTGCAGGAGAACATGTGTGTGACTCAAACATCTGCAGGAGAACATGTGTGTGACTCAAACATCTGCAGGAGAACATGTGTGTGTGACCTCAAACATCTGCAGGAGAACATGTGTGTGTGACCTCAAACATCTGCAGGAGAACATGTGTGTGACTCAAACATCTGCAGGAGAAACATCTGCAGGAAAACATGTGTGTGACTCAAACATCTGCAGGAGAACATGTGTGTGACTCAAACATCTGCAGGAGAACATGTGTGTGACTCAAACATCTGCAGGAGAACATGTGTGTGACTCAAACATCTGCAGGAGAACATGTGTGTGACTCAAACATCTGCAGGAGAACATGTGTGTGACTCAAACATCTGCAGGAGAACATGTGTGTGTGACTCAAACATCTGCAGGAGAACATGTGTGTGACTCACACATCTACAGGAGAACATGTGTCAGTGTGATGTCACAGTGATGTCACGGTGATGTCACGGTGATGTCATGATGTCAGAGTGATGTCAGAGTCTTACGTGTCCCTTGGCGGTGCGCTGGTGTCATGTCAGAGTCTTACGTGTCCCTTGGCGGTGCCCTGGTGTCATGTCAGAGTCTTACGTGTCCCTTGGCGGTGCGCTGGTGTCTGGTGTCATGTCAGAGTCTTACGTGTCCCTTGGCGGTGCGCTGGTGTCGTGTCAGAGTCTTACGTGTCCCTTGGCGGTGCGCTGGTGTCTGGTGTCATGTCAGAGTCTTACGTGTCCCTTGGCGGTGCGCTGGTGTCATGTCAGAGTCTTACGTGTCCCTTGGCGGTGCGCTGGTGTCTGGTGTCATGTCAGAGTCTTACGTGTCCCTTGGCGGTGCCCTGGTGTCATGTCAGAGTCTTACGTGTCCCTTGGCGGTGCGCTGGTGTCTGGTGTCATGTCAGAGTCTTACGTGTCCCTTGGCGGTGCGCTGGTGTCTGGTGTCATGTCAGAGTCTTACGTGTCCCTTGGCGGTGCGCTGGTGTCTGGTGTCATGTCAGAGTCTTACGTGTCCCTTGGCGGTGCGCTGGTGGGTGCAGACGTGCAGGTCGGTGATGGTTCCGTCGGTTCGGGCCGTGTGCACTCGGGGGCAGAAGGACAGCAGGGGGCGCTCTTCAGACGCACTGAACTTCATCTGGGCCAAATTATGAATGAAGAAGTTGAGTTTAGTGGCGACGCTGCCCAGACTCGACTCGATCAGTCTGAAAAACACAACAAGTACTCCAGTACTAGTACTAGTACTAGTACTAGTAGTAGTAGCAGTAGTAGTAGTAGTAGTAGTAGTAGTAGTACCTGGTGAAGTACATGGCAGTAGTAGTAGTAGTAGTAGTAGTAGTAGTAGTAGTACCTGGTGAAGTACATGGCAGTGGCAGTAGTAGTAGTAGTAGTAGTAGTAGTAGTAGTAGTACCTGGTGAAGTACATGGCAGTAGTAGCAGTAGTAGTAGTAGTAGTAGTAGTAGTAGTAGTAGTACCTGGTGAAGTACATGGCAGTAGTAGCAGTAGTAGTAGTAGTAGTAGTAGTAGTAGTAGTAGTACCTGGTGAAGTACATGGCAGTAGTAGCAGTAGTAGTAGTAGTAGTAGTAGTAGTAGTAGTAGTACCTGGTGAAGTACATGGTGGCGTCGGCCTCAGACTCTTGAGGTCTCAGAGCGTCATAAACGTATCTGAGATCAGCCAAATCTGACAACTCTGGAATCCCACAGGACACCATCTGTGAAGTACAAGTACTACAGTATTATACAAGTACTACCATCTGTGAAGTACAAGTACTACAGTATTATACTCCCATCTGTGAAGTACAAGTACTACAGTATTATACAAGTACTACCATCTGTGAAGTACAAGTACTACAGTATTATACTCCCATCTGTGAAGTACAAGTACTACAGTATTATACAAGTACTACCATCTGTGAAGTACAAGTACTACAGTATTATACTACTACTACCATCTGTAAAGTACAAGTACTACAGTATTATACAAGTCCTACAGTATGTGTGTATGTGTGTATGGGGTGTGTGTATGTGTGTATGTGTGTATGGGGTGTGTGTATGTGTGTATGTGTGTATGTGTGTGTATGTGTGTATGTGTGTATGGGGTGTGTGTATGTGTGTATGGGGTGTGTGTATGTGTGTATGTGTGTATGGGGTGTGTGTATGTGTGTATGGGGTGTGTGTATGTGTGTATGGGGTGTGTGGTGTGTGTGTGTATGGGGTGTGTGTGTATGTGTGTATGTGGTGTATGGGTGTGTGTATGTGTGTATGTGTGTATGGGGTGTGTGTATGTGTGTATGTGTGTATGGGGTGTGTGTACCAGGCCCAGCAGGTGGAGGAACAGGTGTGTGTGTTTCCTGATCAGGTTGTGTGTGTGTGTATGTGTGTATGTGTGTATGGGGTGTGTGTATGTGTGTATGTGTGTGTGTGTATGTGTGTGTTGTGTGTATGGGGTGTGTGTACCAGGCCCAGCAGGTGGAGGAACAGGTGTGTGTGTTTCCTGATCAGGTTGTGTGTGTGTGTATAGTGTGTATGGGGTGTGTGTGTGTATGGGGTGTGTGTATGTGTGTATGGGGTGTGTGTATGTGTGTATGTGTGTATGGGGTGTGTGTACCAGGCCCAGCAGGTGGAGGAACAGGTGTGTGTGTTTCCTGATCAGGTTGTGTATGTGTGTATGGGGTGTGTGTATGTGTGTATGTGTGTGGTGTGTGTATGTGTGTGTATGTGTGTATGGGGGGTGTGTGTATGTGTGTATGTGTGTATGGGGTGTGTGTACCAGGCCCAGCAGGTGGAGGAACAGGTGTGTGTGTTTCCTGATCAGGTTGTAGGCTTCGCAGCAGAGATCCACGAAGTCGTGGAAGCGGCTCGACGGTTTGTCTCCCCCGTTGATCACGTAGGCCATGTCCGACGTGAAGACGAACGGAGCGCGGTCCCTGGCGGCGACAAGGACCACAGTCAGGACCGGGACCAGGACCGGGACCGGGACTGGACTGGACCGGGACCAGAACTGGACCAGGACCGGGACCAGAACTGGACCAGGACCGGGACTAAACCAGGATTAAACAAGGACTAGGACAGGACATGAAACACGACTGAAACAGGACTAGACGAGGACTGGAACTAGACTTGAACGGTATTAGAACGGGACTAGACCGGGACTAAACCAGGACTAGAACAAGATCAGAAAAGGACTAGAACGAGACTAGAAAAAGACTAGAATAGGACTAAACCAGGACTAGAACAGGACTAAACCAGGATTAGAACAGGTCTAGAACAGGACTAGACCTGGACTAGAACAGGACTAGAACAGGACTAGAACAGGACTAGAAAAGGACTAAACCAAGACTAAACCAGGACTAAACAAGGACTAGAACGGACCTAGAACAGGACTAAACCAGGACTGGAACTAGACTAAAGCTAGACTAAAGCAGAACTAGAACAGAACTAGAACAGGACTAGACCTGGACTAGAACAGGACTAGAACAGGACTAGAACTGGACTAAACCAGGACTAGAACAGGACTAAACCAGGACTGGAACTAGACTAAAGGTAGACTAAAGCAGGACTAGAACGGGACTAGAACAGGACTAAACCAGTACTAAACCAGGAATAAACCAGGACTAGAAGAGGACCAAAGCAGGATTAGAAAAGGACAAAAACTAAGACCACAAAAGGACAAGTATGAACGCACCCTTAAGCGGATCTCAACCGGTTTTAGAGGGGTCTAAGCAGGTTCTAGTTGGATCTAAATCAGTTTTGGAGAGTTCCTAGTGAGTTCTAAGCGGTTCTGGAGGGAGTTTGGCAGGTTCTAGGTGGATCTGAAGCGAAGGTTTTGGAGTTTCTCTCACCTCTTGATGTTGCCGAACATCTGGGCGTGTCCGAGGAACTTTCCGAAGTCGATGTGGAACATGTGGCCGCTGCTCTTCATCATGATGTTGTCGTTGTGGCGATCACAGATGCCCAGGACGTACGTCGCCACGCAGCAGCCCGCGCACGAGTAGATGAAGTTCTCCACCGCCTGAAGACACCAGAGAGAAGAGCTCAAAGACACAAGAACCACCAGAGAGAAGAGCTCAAAGACACAAGAACCACCAGAGAAAAGAGCTCAAAGACACAAGAACCACCAGAGAGAAGAGCTCAAAGACACAGAACCACCAGAGAGAAGAGCTCAAAGACACAAGAACCACCGCCTGAAGACACCAGAGAGAAGAGCTCAAAGACACAGAACCACCAGAGAGAATCAAAGACACCACCAGAGAGAAGAGCTCAAAGACACAAGAACCACCAGAGAGAAGAGCTCAAAGACACAAGAACCACCAGAGAGAAGAGCTCAAAGACACAAGAACCACCAGAGAGAAGAGCTCAAAGACACAAGAACCACCAGAGAGAAGAGCTCAAAGACACAAGAACCACCGCCTGAAGACACCAGAGAGAAGAGCTCAAAGACACAAGAACCACCAGAGAGAAGAGCTCAAAGACACAAGAACCACCACCTGAAGAGAGAGAAGAGCAAGAAGAACCATCGCCTGAAGACACCAGAGAGAGCTCAAGACACAAGAACACCAGGAGAAGAGCTCAAAGACACAAGAACCACCAGAGAGAAGAGCTCAAAGACACAAGAACCACCAGAGAGAAGAGCTCAAAGACTCAAGAACCACCAGAGAGAAGAGCTCAAAGACGTAAGAACCATCGCCTGAAGACACCAGAGAGAAGAGCTCAAAGACACAAGAACCACCAGAGAGAAGAGCTCAAAGACGTAAGAACCATCGCCTGAAGACACCAGAGAGAAGAGCTCAAAGACGTAAGAACCATCGCCTGAAGACACCAGAGAGAGAGCTCAAAGACACAAGAACCACCAGAGAGGAGAAAAGAGCTCAAAGACACAAGAACCACCAGAGAGAAGAGCTCAAAGACACAAGAACCACCAGAGAGAAGAGCTCAAAGACGTAAGAACCATCGCCTGAAGACACCAGAGAGAAGAGCTCAAAGACACAAGAACCACCAGAGAGAAGAGCTCAAAGACACAAGAACCACCAGAGAGAAGAGCTCAAAGACACAAGAACCACCAGAGAGAAGAGCTCAAAGACACAAGAACCACCAGAGACAAGAGCTCAAAGACACAAGAACCACCAGAGAGAAGAGCTCAAAGACACGAGAACCACCTCCTGAAGACACCAGAGAGAAGAGCTCAAATACAAAAAAAACATCGCCTGAAGACACCAGAGAAGAGCTCAAAGACTCAAGAACCACCAGAGACAAGAGCTCAAAGACAAAAGAACCACCGCCTGAAGACACCAGAGAGAAGAGCTCAAATACAAAAAAAACATCGCCTGAAGATACCAGAGAAGAGCTCAAAGACACAAGAACCACCAGAGAGAAGACCTTAAAGACACAAGAACCACCAGAGAGAAGACCTTAAAGACACAAGAACACCGCCTGAAGACACCAGAGAGAGAGCTCAAGACACAAGAACCACCAGAGAGAAGACCTTAAAGACACAAGAACCACCAGAGAGAAGAGCTCAAAGACGTAAGAACCACCACAGAGAAGACTTTAAAACACACCACCACAGAGAAGACCTTAAAGACACAAGAACCATCGCCTTCTCTCTGTGGATCAGTAAAGTCGAACTCCAGGATGAGAAAAGGCAAAATAAATAATAATAATAATAATAAAAAATAAGTAATGGATGCTGGTAATGGTGGAGTTATGGCAGACTGAGCTCGTGTGCACTCACAAACTGTAAATATAAATACGTGCGGACCCATAGACTGTAAATATAAATACATGTGCACCCATAGACTGTAAATATAAATACATATGCACCCATAGACTGTAAATATAAATACAGGAGCACCATAGACTGTAGTAGTAGTACCTTGTCGTACTGCTCCTCTGTGGGGTTGTAGTAGTAGTAGTAGTAGTAGTAGTAGTAGTAGTAGTAGTAGTAGTAGTAGTAGTAGTAGTAGTAGTAGTACCTTGTCGTACTGCTCCTCTGTGGGGTTGTAGTAGTAGTAGTAGTAGTAGTAGTAGTAGTAGTAGTAGTAGTAGTAGTAGTAGTAGTAGTAGTACCTTGTCGTACTGCTCCTCTGTGGGGTTGTAGTAGTAGTAGTAGTAGTAGTAGTAGTAGTAGTAGTAGTAGTAGTAGTACCTTGTCGTACTGCTCCTCTGTGGGGTTGTAGTAGTAGTAGTAGTAGTAGTAGTAGTAGTAGTAGTAGTAGTAGTAGTAGTAGTAGTACCTTGTCGTACTGCTCCTCTGTGGGGTTGTAGTAGTAGTAGTAGTAGTAGTAGTAGTAGTAGTAGTAGTAGTAGTAGTAGTAGTAGTAGTACCTTGTCGTACTGCTCCTCTGTGGGGTTGTAGTAGTAGTAGTAGTAGTAGTAGTAGTAGTAGTAGTAGTAGTAGTAGTAGTAGTAGTAGTACCTTGTCGTACTGCTCCTCTGTGGGGTTGTACTTCTGGAGCCAGTCGGACAGAGGTCGGTCCTTGAACGATCCTGTGACTCCGTGTTCCACCTGGATCCTCCTGAGCGTGTCTGCGTGAGGAATCATCTCCACCATCCCTGAAAGTACACGGACATACACATATAACTACTACTACTACTACTACTACTACTACTACTACTACTACTACTACTACTACTACTACTACTACTACTAAGGAATCATCTCCATAAGAACTGGAGAGCAGCAGGGGCACATTCTCAATACTAAACTAGGTCTAAACCAGGTCTAAACCAGGTCTCAGTGGTACCTGTCCCAGGTCCGGTGGAGCAGCACTTGAAGAGGACCATCCTCATGTCCAGACCCTCCTGGATCCAGATGTTGTTCATGATTCTGATCATCTGCAGCGTGAGCATGTCCTGACGAAGGTCATCTCCAGACTGTGGAGCACATCACACACATCAGGAACACATCAGGAACATCAGGAACATGGAACATGGAACATCTGGAACATCAGGAATCATCGAACATCACAACAGGAACATCTGGACATACATCTGGAACATCTGGAACATCTGGAACATCAACATCAGAAACATCTACAACATCTGAACATCTGAACATCTACAACATCAGGAACATCTACAACATCAGGAACATCTGAACATCTACAACATCTGAACATCTACAACATCGGAACATCTAGAACATCTGGAACATCTACAACATCAGGAACATCAGGAATATTAGGAACATCTACAACATCAGGAACATCTGAACATCTACAACATCAGGAACATCTACAACATCAGGAACATCTGGAACATCAGAACATCTACAACATCAGGAACATCTGAACATCTACAACATCTGAACATCTACAACATCAGGAACATCAGGAACATTAGGAACATCTACAACATCTACAACATCTGAACATGTAGAACATGGACTTGGAGGAGCATGGACCTTCCCGGGGAGGCTGAGGAGTGTGATTCCCCTGGAGTTGGAACACACCCTCTGGTCGTCCTCCTTACACAGAGGGACCACCACCCCGGTCTGCCAGTCCAGAGGCTCTGTCCCAGACCTCCACACGCTGGTGTGTCAGATGCCCTCCCCGTGTGTCCTACCTTGAAGATGACGCTGATGGGGTCTCCGTGGGGGTCCTGGTTGGTGAAGGACAGTTTGAGGGGGACGGCGTTGGAGTTGAAGTACGAACAGGACTTGATGTTGA